CATTTCCTCTGGGTAATTTCACAGAAGGGTACACGGGTCATATGGTAGATCCATTGTTAACGTTCTGAAGAGCCTCCATACTGTTTTCCATGACTGTCCTAATTTACATTCTGTCCAAGTTTATTAGGAGTTGCTTTTCTGTACAACCTCACCAGCACATTCTTTCTTCTGTCTTTTTGGTAATAGTCATTCTCACAGGAGTGAGATGATACCTCACTGTGGCTTTTATCTGCATGTCTCTGATGGCTGGAATACTGAGCATTTTCCCCACCAATTCGTTTGTCATTTGTATTTCAAGGTGTAGTGTGGGGAGCTACTCGGACTAGACTAAGTTACTGGAATTAAGACTTATTCTATGCATCTGCTCTCCCACAATATGGCGCTGAGAGAAAGAGACCAAACAACCTCTACGCAGCTGCCTCATCAGTTTGACAAGCTGCAGGAGCTGATTCTGCTCCTGATTGGAGGAGAGCAGCGTGCTCGGCGTGTGGGTAGCAGAGTTGGGATTGGTGGAAGAGGACTATAAAGGAGGAGAGACAACATGCACCAGGAACATCTATCTGAAGGAACACCTGAGCAGCCCCCGAGAGAGCCGGCCGGCGGTGTGCCGCTCCTCCGCGGAAGTGGGGAAAGTGGCAGGGGGAGCCGCCCCTCCACGGAGGTGGAGGGGTCGGCAGCCAACCCGGGAAGGACCAGCAGCAAACCCGGGAAGGGCCGAGCAGACAAAAGAACAGCGCAGGGTCCTGTGTCGTTCCTCCGCGAATGGGGGAGCGACAGTGTAGCTTTTGTCTGTAAAGACAAATCGTGCATCAGGTATAATGTATTTTGATGAAAATTTACTCCATACAGAGTTCTTCTCCCAAAAGCTAAAATATAAAACTGGATCATTTGTGCTAGTTCTGGAGGCACCAGTGGTGAGCTGGCAATGTGCAGAGGAGGGCCGCCCATGGAACAATCAGAAAATCTTAGGGGCATGTTCAATACAATTGTAAAGGAAGAATATGTCTGTTAATACAGCAAATATGGTCTGAGTTCTTTCTTAGAGCACTTTAGGAGGCCTGATGGTCAGAAACACAAATGTCTCCAGGAGCCAGGCAGGGGGAAGCTTAGTGAACAGACAGGATGACGTGAGGGAGGGAGGAGTGGAGGTAATGAAGACCCCTAAGCAGGTGTCCCCATTCAGAGGTGGCTGCTGCTCAGCCTTAAATGATGTGTTGTGAGGGCAGCACTGTGGCATAGCAGGTAAAGCCGCCGCCTGCTACGGTGCCCTTAAGGGCACCAGTTCAAGTCCCAGCTGCTCCACTTCCAATCCAGCATTCTGCTAATGGCCTGGGAAATCAGTAGAAGACAGCCCAAGTCCTTACGCCCCTGCAACCACGTGGGAAACCTGGAGAAAGCTCCTGGCTCCTCCTGGCTTCAGATCGGCACAGCTCCAGCCATTGTGGCCATCAGGGGAGTGAACCAGTGGATGGAAGACCTCTCTCTCTCCCTCTGCTTCTTTGTAACTCTTTCAAATAAAATAAATCTTTAAAAAAATGATATGTTGCAATAATGAAATCTCACTGTGTTAGCCAACATCACATTTTTTAAGCTAAGAGAGGAATATAAATTTTATGTGGACACTCAAATTGACATTCAGGAGCCGGGACTGTGGCATAGAGGGTAAATCCACTGCTTGCAGTGTCAGCATCCCATATGGGCACTGGTTCAAGTCCCGGCTGCTCCACTTGTGATCCAGCTCCCTGCTGTGGCCTGGAAAAGCAGTACAAGAAGGCCCAGGTCCTTGGGCCCCTGTAGACACGTGGGAGACCTGGAAAAATCTCCTGGTTCCTGGCTTCGGATTGGCCTAGCTCTGGCTGTTAAAGCCATTTGGGAAGTGAATCAGTAGATGGAAGATCTCTCTTTCTCTCTCTGCCTCTGCCTCTCTGTAACTCTGCCTTTCAAATAATAAGTAAATAAATCTTTATAAAAATTGGCATCCAAATCAAATACTATGGATATGAGGATCAGAACTGGTTTTTGAGCCACATAAACCCATGTGACTGAAGTGCATGTTTTTGCATCATATTATAGACTAATGAGTATAAACTTTTTTTTTTTTTTTTGACAGAGTGGACAGTGAGAGAGAGAGACAGAGAGAAAGGTCTTCCTTTACCGTTGGTTCACCCTCCAATGGCCGCTGCGGCCGGCGCATCACGCTGATCCGAAGCCAGGAGCCAGGAGCCAGGTACTTCTCCTGGTCTCCCATGTGGGTGCAGGGCCCAAGCACTTGGGCCATCCTCCACTGCACTCCTGGGCCACAGCAGAGAGCTGGCCTGGAAGAGGGGCAACCGGGACAGAATCCAGCGCCCCGACCAGGACTAGAACCTGGTATGCCGGCACCGCAGGCAGAGGATTAGCCTATTGAGCTGTGGCACCAGCCAAGTACAGACCTTTAAACAGAGTGTGGCTGTCAGCTTCACAGAAGGGATACTCATTTTTTAATTTACCTTTACATTATTGTCACCTACAAAATTATTTCTATATAATATACGAACACTATAAGCTCTACAGTGAGTCCAAACCAGGTCAATGTTGTATTCATATTTACTTATAATATCAATGCAAAGATATTGTATTTGTGGATGACAATAATATAAAAAGCATTCTGGCAATTAATCCACTGGAAGATTGTATGATAAATCTAATGCAGTTTCCTAAATACAAGGCGCACCAGAGATTCAACTTCTTGTAGCACACAGGTCTCCACTTTCCATCCCTCCACTACACTTTCCCCAACTGTACAACGTCCCATGCCGTCCTCTTGCACTAGAAATCTCACCTAAGCCCTAAAGAACCTGCAAACCTCTGCTTATCCTTTATGGCTGGTTCAAGTGGATATTTCTCCTGGAAGCCTTCCTTGTCTCATCTGCCCAACTAACTTCCTCTATCCTCAAGTTCATGTACACAGCTGGTGTTTGGCCTAGCACTTAAGATGCAGGTTAAGGTACCTACAATCCATGTCAAGGTGCCTGGGTCTGATACCTAGCTGTGGCTTCTGAATTCAGCTTCTTATTTTTTTTTATATTTATTTTTATTTCTTTGAAAGAGTTACAGAGAGAGGTAGAGCCAGAGAGAGAAAGAAAGGTCTTCCATCTGCTGTTTCACTCCCCAATCAGCCACAATGGCCAGAGCTGCACTGATCCGAAGCCAGGAGCCAGGAGCTTCTTCTGGATCTCCCACGTGAGTGCAGGGGCCCAAGGACCTGGGCCATCTTCCACTGCTTTCCCAGGCCACAGCAGAAAACTGGATTGGAAATTCTTATTAATAAGATCCTAGGAGACAGTCATGATGTCACTCATGTGGGAGAATTGGATTGAGTTCCCTGTTTGCAGCTTTAGTCAACCAGGGGCAATTGGAAACATTTGGGGGGATGAATCAGTGGATACATGGGTGCTATCACTTTTTCTTTCTGTCTCCCTCTTTCTCTTTTATAATCTCCATACCTTACAAAAAACTAAAATAAAATATACATCTATCAGATTGGAAAAAATTACTTTAAAATATTCACAAAAGTTGTATTTTAAGTTGTAGTTAACTTATATATCTTTGCTTTCCTCTGCTTCTCTGAGGACCTAGAAATAATATATGTTTCAGTATGAAGCTACATGTCAATCCTGTTCTTGTAATATTACAAAATGAAATTGAACAGTGGGGCTGGCGCTGTGGTTAATCCTCCGCCTGTGGCGCCAGCATCCCATATAGGCGCTGGTTCTAGTCCTATCTGCTCTTCCAATCCAGCTCTCTGCTGTGGCCTGGGAAAGCAATGGAAGATGGCCCAAGTGCTTGGGCCCCTGCACCCACGTGGGAGACCAGAAAGAAGCTCCTGGCTCCTGGCTTCAGATCAGCGCAGCTCAGGCCGTTGCGGCCATCTGGGGAGTGAACCCATGGACAGAAGACCTTTCTCTCTGATTCTCCCTCTCACTGTCTGTAACTCTACCTCTCAAATAAATACATAAAATCTTTTTTTAAAAAGGAAATTAAATAGTAAGGAGAAAATATTCTCAAAATAGACTATTTTGCAGAAAATAGCACGTGAGGAAAAGGACACACAAATACTGAGCTCTGTGAACATGATACTGAATACGTTCCCCTTGGGCAGATTTTACAATATGCCTTTTCTCTGGATGTATTCAGTCACATGATGTCACACACACCAGATGCAGTATTCAAGGAAAGACTTAACAAGGCAACATAAATGAAATTCAAGTGGAACAGAAAAAAAAAATCTTAAAGAGAACGTTCAAAAATGGTTTATTACCTGCAAGAGTTCAAACATCAGCAAATTCCTAGCTCAAGGTTCCAGCCAGAATGTTGATGAGGTGGAAAACATTTGTTTGCTGAAAATGAAGCAGAAAGAGTTCCACCAATCTCAATGGCCCTCCCGAGTTCTATGTGTTCTGAGTACTAGGCCATGTCTAAGGACCTCGGTCTTTCACTACCCTGCCCAGTTACAAAGCCTATGTTCATTCTGAAGGCAGGGTACAACTGACAAAACTCTGTCCTAAACAGGATGACTTGGAATTAAATTCCTTATAGAAAAAGCAATGCAACAGTCCATGAGTGTCTGTTGGGGGCCAACTGACAAAAAGACGGATTGCACAAGTGGGACATAAGCCAATCTGTGGGTTTCTGCATGGGCAAGACTCAGACACCTGCTTGCTATGCCAGCCCCACCCCCAGGCTGCTCCATATTTACAGTCCCATGTGGGGGGGAAGCAGCTGCTCCCCAGCCTGTGGACAACCAGGAGCTTCTGCACAGAGACTGGGTAAGTTACTGGGCCCTAGAGCTGGGACAAGGAGGGAAGCCACAGGGCAGCAACTGAGGGAGGGGAGAGGCGAATCAGTGCCCAGGAGACTTGGCACACGTTGGGAATGGGAAGGGAATGGGTATATGACCCAGAGTGACAGCAGAGGAGTCTCCAGCGTGAGCCACAGAGCGTGTTGTAAGTAGTCTGGGATGCAGGAACAGTCACTTCTCTTCCTTCTGCAGGTAACTTCATTTCAACGATGCTCAGTGCCCGACTTTGTTTCTTGCTGTTGCTGGGGATCTTGGGAACAGCAACCTCATTCCAGGCCCCACCTGCTGGTTTCACACGGGCTCAGTGGTTTGAAGTCCAACACATAAATATGACGCACTCCCGATGTGACAATGCAATGAGAGTGGTTAACAGATATAGAGGATACTGCAAAGGGAAAAATACTTTCCTTCATGTAACCTTTGTGGATGCTGTGAATACCTGTCATAATCCAAATATACCCTGCACCGCAGGTGGTAGGCAAAATTGCCATCAGAGCTCAACCCAGGTGCTTTTAACTGACTGTGACCTCACGAGAAACAGTTCAAATATTAGGCAGTGCCAATATCGACAGAGAAGGAAAACTAAATTCTATGTAATTGCCTGTGACCCAAGATCTCCCCGGGACCCTCCTTCCTACCCTATAGTTCCAGTTCACTTGAATGGGACGGTTTAGCTCCTCTGCCATCCCTCATCTTACAAGCTCCTCAATGTTAACCAAGATCCCATTCCTACATCAACCCTGGATATCACCATCTGCCCTCATCACACAAGTCCTTGCGCCCTTCAAGGTTGGCTGAGTAGGGGCTGGCGCTGTGATATAGCGGGAAAAGCTGCTGCCTGCAGTGCCAGCATACCATATGGGTGCCAGTTCAAGTTCCAGCTGCTTCACTTCCGATCCAGCTCTCTGCTATGGCCTGGGAAAGCAGTAGAAGATGTCCCAAGTGCTTGGGTCCTTGTACCTGCACGGGAGACCCTGAAGAAGCTCCTGGCTCCTGGCTTTAGATTGGCACAGCTCTGGCTGTTGAGGCCATTTGGGGAGTGAACCAGTGGATGGAAGCTTTCTCTCTATCTCTGCCTCTGCATCTCTGAAACTCTGCCTTTCAAATAAATAAATCTTAAAAAAAGAAAAGAAAAAAAAAAGGTTGGCTGAGCTTAAATGTTTTGCAGACTGCACAATAAACTTTGCAGAATCATCTAGATGTCTGTGTGTCTCTTCTTGTCTCTGCTGTCAGCCACAACCTGTTCTAGAGACATTTCCCTGCTCTGATCTGAAATTGGGGGGAGCAGTGAGATGTGAGAATGAGACTCTGCATCATGAAGCAGCACGGATGTCCCCTTCTTTTCCTAAGCTGAGACTTCACTCTCCACTGACACCTGCCTTTCCGCTCAGCCAATCTTTACTCTGGCGTTTCTGGACCCTCTCCACAAGGAAGCCCTGCCCCAGAATTCTGAGCCCTGCCTTGTAGAGTCCAATTTTAATAGGAATCCTCCCTAACTCTGTGTATCCTGAATCCCTCACCCTTGGTGTCTGACCAAATTCCTTTTCCTCATTGGGTTCATACTTGGGAGACAAAATTTTATTTTTCGCCCAAAATAACCTTATTTTGAGTGTATTTTCCCACTAACATTTTGAAGTCTCTCCACGTGAGATGGCTTTCGCTCCAGTTCCCAACATGATGTTCCTCCTTTCCTTAGAAACCTCTCCAGCATGGCCTTTACAATGCCCATTCCTAGCAGATGCTGGTCACTACCACCTAAGAAGCGCCTACCTTCTACACCTTTCCTGGTTTGCCTGTTTTCAGACCCTCAGCATAGCAGTCCTTAGGATTCCATGTAGGGGCTCATGAGCTTGCACAAAGACCCTGGGTTTGGGAAATGCCCACGTCCAACAGAGTACAGAGACGTTAGGTACAACATGCTATGGCATGAAGTAACCTCACCTCACACTTCCGACTATCTTAGAGCAATAGAAGGAAGGGGTGGGATTTAGCCAAGCTGAGCCAATGTCCCATGAACAAAGGGGAAGCAAAGCTTCCTCCCCTCAGTTACCAGATCGTCTGTGCCTTCCCACTCAGGATGACAACATCTCTAACACCCAGGCATACAAGGATCAGTCACCCATCTGCACAACGCCCTCTCCACCATGTGTCCTCATCAATCTTCTGTCATTTGTGCATTCATTCATCCATCCACCAGACGTCTATTGTGTAGATTCTGTGTTCTGCATGGTTCTAGTGGGTCAGAGATGCAAAAGGAGCAAAACAAAGACATGTTCCTACTCTCCTGCTGCCACACTAGTATACACTGATGAGAATAAAGGCACAAAATTGTTTTAAACAGACAGAAGGCAAATTACACACAGCAGTATAACGTAGACATAACACTCAATGTCTAAGAAGGGCTCAATCAAGGGAATGAAATGAAAAGTTATACAGAGGGAGAAAGAGAGAGGGAGAGAGAGAGGGAGAGAGAGAGGGAGAGAGAGAGAGGTTTCCATCTGCTGGTTCACTCTCCAATTGGCCACAACAGCTGATCCACTTCTGATCCAGCTCTCTGCTGTAGAGAAACAGGAGCTGTACCAATCCGAAGCCAGCAGCCAGGAGCTACTTCCGGGTCTCTCACATGGGTGTAGGGACCCAAGGACTTGAGCCATTCTCCACTGCTTTCCCAGGCCATAGCAGAGAGCTGGATCGGAAGTGGAGCAGCCTGGACTCGAATCGGCGCCCATATGGGATGCCGGCACTGCAGGCAGCAGCTTTACCCACCATGCCACAGCATCAGCCCTGCAATTTTCTTTTGAACTCCATTGGTTCAAGAAAAAGAAAGCCCTTAGAACTCTACTTACAAGTTTTATGTAAATTTAAATTTTTTTAAATGAAAAAAACGTGAGATTTAAAAATATTCCAGTGGAAAGCATGGATGAAGGATTTCTAAATCTAAGAGAATCTGAGTCAGAATTTTAAACACGAATATATTACAAAATATTTTAAATCAGAGATATGAGAATGATCCTGAAATGGCGGATACATGGCATTATACATTTTCCAAAACTCATAGAACATACAACACGAAGAGTAAACCTGAATATAAACTACGGATTTAGGGTAATAACGATGGGTGAATGTAAGTTTATCAACTGTAACAAATACACCACATTGGTGGTGGCAGGGTAGGGGATAGACAACAGTGGAGGTTGTGGGTGGAAGAGGGAGGTAGGGTGTTTAGGAGAACTCTGGTGCTTTCTGCCCAACTTTTCTGTTAACCTAAAACTATATAAAAGTTGAAAGAAAAAGTCTCCCCTTTTCTGATCTCTTAAAAAAATTTTCAAATGCCAAAACACACAGAAAGACTGTGGAAATATTCTTGATTAAAGGTGGACAAAAAGACATAGTAGGTGCAACAGTTGAAAGTAGGCTGGAGCCTGTACCATGAACAGAGATTATATTATAAATAATAGTACAGGGGGTGTGGGGAGCAACTGGGAGCAACTCGGACTAGACTAAGTTACTGGAATTAAGACTTATTCTATGCATCTGCTCTCCCACAATATGGCGCTGGGAGAGGAGCAAACAGCTTCTACACAGCTGCCTCCAGTTCAACCAATAAGCAGCAGGACCTGCTCCTGATTGGAGGAGAGCAGCGTACTTGGCGTGTGGGTAGCAGAGTTGGGATTGGCGGAAGAGGACTATAAAGGAGGAGAGAGACAACATGCACCAGGAACATCTATCTGAAGGAACACCTGTGCAGCCCCCGAGAGAGCCGGCCGGCGGTGTGCCACTCTCCTGAGGAGTGGGGAAAGTGGCTAGGGGGAACCGCCTTTCCACAGAGGTGGAAGGGTTGGTAGCCAACCCGGGAAGAACCAGCAGCAAACCCGGGGAGGGCCGAGCAGACAGAAGAACAACGCAGGGTCCTGTGTCGTTCCTCCACGAAGAGGGGGAGCGACATAATGGTGCCGTGACTCGGATATGAAGCCTAGGCAGGGTCCAGTGTCGCTCCTCCACGAAGAGGGGGAGCGACAAGGGGGAGCCGGCGTCACGGCTCAATAGGCTAATCCTCCGCCTGTGGCTCTGGCACACCGGGTTCTAGTCCCGGTTGCCCCTCTTCCAGTCCAGCTCTCTGCTGCGGCCCAGGAGTGCAGAGGAGGATGGCCCAGGTCCTTGGGCCCTGCACCCCATGGGAGACCAGGAGAAGCACCTGGCTCCTGGCTCCTGGCTTCAGATCAGTGCAGTGCGCCAGCCGCAGTGGCCACTGGGGAGTGAACCAACGGAAAAGGAAGACCTTTCTCTCTGTCTCTCTCTCACTGTCCACTCTGCCTGTCAAAAAAAAAAAAAAAAAAGAGTACAGGGGGGCCAGCCCAGCACTGTGGCCTAGTGGGTGGTGCCGCCCTCTGCAATGCTGGCATCCCATACTGGTGCTGGTTTGAGTCCTGGCTTTTCCACTTCTGATCCAGCTCTCTGCTGTAGAGAAACAGGAGAATGACCTACATGTGAGAATGGTGGAAAAAGAAAAGGATGTAGGTACCAAATGTAGATGGGGAAGCAGCTGAGAAACAGGAATTTGGGCAAGAATATCAACAGAGAAGGAAGATCCTTGTCAGAAATAAATCTGCTTGTACAGTGGGACATGAGTCACTGCCTCCCTTCTCCTCAACCTTGTTCTGAAACAGCGTTCTGAGAAAGCCTGCATTTTTTGTGCTGTCTGGGTCATGGGGACAAATATCTGGCAGGAAATGACCTGTGACTTATTACTGAGAGGGCTCATTTCCTAAGCATTAAACCATAGCAAGTGTATTTGCTTTCATTACAAACATTAAAATGTGGGAGTTACCTCTAGGAATTTGCATCAACAATTCACTATTATATTTTCTTCACATACATAAAATACGATGTCTGTCTCCACGCGTTGCTCTTGAGTACCTGAGTGGAACCAGTAGAGGACAAAGCCCAAATGTGTGAGTGGCAGCTTTTGAACTGGTTTGCTGTGTTCAGGGGAAGTTACTTCACATCTCTGGACCTCAGTTCCATCAGATAGGCTGAATAACTAGCAAAACAAGCATAAGGAATAATTTAGATATACAGGTATATATTTCTATAATGGAGGTGTGTGTGTGTGTGAGAGAGAGAGAGACAGAGAGACAGAGAGAGGATATAGACAGGCATATGGAGGCAGTTTGTCTTTTTAGTTATTCCTACAACACTCACGTTTTTTCAGATGAGTACAGATTTACACACAAAAGTCCTGACTTATTATTTTAAAGCTAAATAATTTTTTAATCCCATAGTTTTTTTTTCTTACTTGTAAGATACAGACACTTAAAGTGCCTTACTCAAAGAGTTATTGTGAATATTGTGAGAATTAAATATAGTAACCTATGTACAGCTTCTAGAACAGCTGGTTCTTAAACATAAAACCATGTGTCCTGATTCACTATGCCTATCAGTGCTGTTCTGGAATAAGTACCAACAGTGCTCCTTCCAACTCTCAAAATCATGCCAGCTCAGACAGTAAATTACATGGTCACCCTATCCACAGCTCAGTGTGAGCACTCAAAACATCATTATTTCATTAGCACTATTGACATTTGTCTTTAAAAATCACAACTAAAAATTCATTTCCATTCTGAATTAGTAGGGATGACAACGATTGAAGTGTTTGAGCAGGAAGGATAGACTCACAAGTCTAATTACATCTTTATGTAGAATTGGAGAGCAACACACATGGAGGGACTTGAGTGGACCGACCCAATATTGAGGTTTCAACACAGATATAAGCCGTAGACACATTGAGATTTACAACACGGAACACAAGTTCAAAGTGGAGCCTCTGAGAAGGACTTGAAACACCAGGTACAACCAACCATCTCTTCGCCATTAATCCCTCCACAGGGAACCATGACAGTGCCTGAGTCCTTCAGGGGAAAAGTTAAACACAGAATAGGAGGGAAAGGATGCAATGGGATGGATGAAGTATGGAAGATTAAGCATCCAAACAACGCAGTTTTCCTTACACTTCAATGCTGTCTTAGGGTGCTGCCTTCTGCATGGGAGAAAGAGGAAGGGAGCCAGCCAAGAGAAAGTAGTAGCAGTCTTGCCTGTGGTCCCCTGTTATACCCTTTTCCCTGTACTCTTTCTCAAGAACCTTTAATGCCTTGGGCTCCTGGGGAAGCCTCACTGATAAGTCCTGGCCCCAGAAAAACA